AGTGACCTGGAATCCACTGCATCACTATTCTGATGTTGTGTGAGGTAATAAGCTGATCAACATCCAGGATTATCTTGGCTATGTCAGTTCTGCAGCGTTCACTGCCCTCCAGAGCTTGAAGGGCAAACATTGAATCTGTGAAGATGACAAAATTTTGGACCTTAGAAGGGTAAACATCCATTACAGTCTTTAGGTGGTATACTGCTGTTTCCAATGCAATTATTTCAGCTTCATAATTTGAACAGAATTCCCCACATGCATCAAAAATCTCTTCAACAGATCCATCGGGATAACGTATTTAGATTCCGTAACCTGCTTTAATGGTAGCTTTAAATGCTGATCCATCAGTATAGACATGTATCCATTCTTGGGGGTAAGAATCAACGGTCTTTAGGGATGAGTTCATAAGAGCGATTGGGTCGGACTGTTTGGTTTCTTCGCCTTCCAATGTAATTCGGACTTCTGGAGCTTTAAAGCGAGCATGTGGTGGTAGGTTTCTTGCAACATTCTGAATTCCTTGACGTCTTTCTGGGAGATGGTATCTGTCCTGAATTTCATTAACACAGTGTAAAACCGATTTGTGCTTTATTCTTTGTTTGTATTCCCAGTTTTCTACAAGGTGTCTATTAGGATGGTTACGATTCTTTCTAACGCATCTTTCATAAATTTCTAAAGTGGCTTTTTCTCTCCGCAATCCGAGGGGTTCCACATTTGTATGGATTTCACATGCAGCAGTTGGTGTAGACTGCATAGCTCCGGAGATTAATCGGAGAGCATTATTTTGTACTCTGTCAAGAGTCTCTAGGTTAGTTTTGGAGCAGGTTGTAAGCAGTGAGTTGTTGTACTCTATCACAGAGCGAACATATCCTAGATATAAGCCCCTCAGAGTTTCCTTGTCTGATCCCCATGATGTACCTGCAAGTCTCTTTAATAACTGTAACCGCCTCAATGCCTTATTCTTGACGTTTTCAATATGGTTCTTAAGGCTGAGCTGCCGGTCAAGTGTGACTCAAAGGTATGTGGGATGCTCTTCTTTCATCACTTGGTGTTTGCCCAACCTCAGGTTAATATTCTTCCTTGCTACTTGATGGCTTTTGGTAAAGATTGTGTAGACCGTCTTTGCACAGTTAATTTTGAGTTTCCATCTTTGGCAGTACTCATGCAGTCTTCTAAGGTCTCCATTCAGCCTCTAGGTTCCACTTTCCACATTTTCATGACTTTGCCATATTGCTAGGTCATCAGCATATAAGGCTTTTTCGGCCTTGATTTGTTCTGGCAGGTCATTGATAAAGATTAGGAACAGTGTACAGCTCAATGATGAGCCTTGTGGCAAGCCCTCCTCCAAGACTTCTTTAGAAGAGATTGCGTTGTGCATCTTAGTCTGGATTGTTCTATCTATCAGGAAGTATTTCACCCAGTTATACAATCTGCCATGTATTCCTACGCTCATCATCTTCATCAGGAGACCTTTTTCTCCATACTCTGTAATAGGCCTACTGGAGGTCGACAAAGACGGCCACTGTGTGTTTCTTATTCTGGAAGCCATCATGTATTCTTTGTGTCAGTCTAAACAGCTGGTCTTCTGTACAGCTGTTGGTTCTGAAGCCTGCCTGTTCATGGCATAGAACACCAGAACTCTCTAGGAACCAATACAAGCGCCTGTTTATCATTCTTTCTGCAACTTTGCCCAAGCATGATGTTAAGGATATCGGGCGGTAGCTTTTGGGGTCGTCTGGAGGCTTTTTGGTTTTAAGAATGGGGACGATGTATGCATTCCTCCATGCCTTTGGAAGTTTGCTTGACCTCCAAGTTTTATTAATAAGCCTGAGAACTGCTTCTCTCCCAGACCAGCCAAGATGTAGCAGCATTTCGTTGTGGATCTTATCTGGGCCTGGGGATTTTCTAGGTTTTAATTTCTTCAGGGCTTGCTCTAATTCGTCCATGCTAAATTCATTTTCAAAAAGGGAGTCACTGGCTGTTGGAGCTCTCTCTTGTTTCTTCAACTGAGAGAGCTGTGTTCTATCGAGTTCTGACAACTTACCTGCTCTATTAACTGAGGCAAAATAAGGATTTAAATGTTCTGCTTTCTTCTTGTCTTCAGTGATTGTCTTACTCCCATCTGTCACTGGTTTTGGGTTCACCCTTCTACTTTCTCCGGAGAGGTTTTTAACTAAAGTCCATGCTTTATTTCCATTCTGTCTAAGGTCTAAGTTGGAGCAAGTTTCTGTCCATTTATCTCTTTTAGCCTTATTTACTACAAGCTTTACTCTGGCACATGCTTTATTGTATTGGATCTTTGCTTCTGTTGAACGTGCAGTTGCGAGCAGTATTCTTGTTTTGTTCCTTTCAGATATAGTATTCTTAATTTATTTTTTATAGAAAGGTTTATATTTCTTCCGGCTGCCCCTTGGGATGGCTTTCAACGCTGCATTCAGGATTGCTTCTGTTATATCTTCACAAAAAATTTCCACACAGCTGTTGTCAATTCTTCCCAGGAGGCAGTCAGATCTTTCCTGAAATAGTTTCCAGTTTGCTTTTCGGAAATTCCAACGGGTTCTCTGCTTGAAGCGTAATTTAGCGGTGGTGCTTACTGTTGTGAGTATAGGTTTGTGGTCACTTCCTATGTCGTCCAGGACTTGGGGATAGCTTGTGTCTGCTAAGTCGGATGAGCAGATGGTCAGATCAGGACGACTGAGAGATAGGTGGGTCCTGTGTAACAGTTTAGGTGTAGAGTCTGTGTCCTGCAGCACTAATAGGTTAGTTGTTTCACAAGTATCTTCGATGTATTTCCCTGTGCTATTGTAATCAGGGTAACCCCAACGTGGCGAGTGTCCGTTGAAGTCACCCACAAGAAGGGTTTTATGGTACTATGTCTTGTATAGTTCTGGTATGTTGCATGTTGTCTGGGGTGGGCTGTACGCGTTGTATATCGTATAATTACTTCCATTGTGCCAGATAGTTATTTTCTGCACATCTGTAGGGTGAGATGTTGATAGCATTATTACATCTCCTTGTATGTCATTTCTGATATAGGTCACTATGCCCCGGCAGTCATTGCACTTACAGGCATAACTAGTATATCCTGTGAGATGCAGATCAGAGTCTTTATGCAGGGTTTCTTGTAGGGCATCCACGTGTACCCTGTGGTTGTTTAGCAGTTTGGCAAGTTCAAGTTTCTTATTTCTTATTCCACAGATGTTCAGCTGCAGAATATTGAGCATCTGTGTGTTTTTTGATGTGCGGTCTGAGTTCTCTTTGCTCTCCCTCCCACTCTTCCTCCTCCTGGGGTGTCTGATTTTCCTATTTATTTTAAATTTTCCAGTAGCCAATTTTTCGCACATGACAGCCTGGTTTCCCACTGTCTGGCGCGGGCCTTGATAGACGAGCAGGACTATTCAACTGGCGGCCCGCGGGTCGAATCTAGCGCTCTGAAGCCTAGCAAGTGGCCAGCGGAACATTGCCATTATTTTATTATTGATCTGTCGATGCTGGGGTGTCGGTACTGTGGCTAAGTCGATGCGAACGCTTCGTAATGCCGGGATGCCAGGTTTGATTCCAGATGCGGGCCATGCGCTTTGGGTTGGTTTCGACAGTGGTATCAAGAAAGCAATGGTCGTAAATTTGCCTAAGAAAAACCACACAACAGCAAAGAGCTGTCGGGGTTGTTCTGCAACGTCCTGTAAAGGATACGCAACTAACTAACCTCTGCTCGGGTCACTGGCCCGTGGAGTTCCATATTTTTACAATGATTTCCTCTGAGTAACATTATTTGAACAGCCCTGCGTCGACGAGGCAACATTTGCTGTTACACAAGACACCAGCAAATTAAATACCAAAGTACGAGTTTATCAGAAATCTGGGCTGGCCTGGGTTCGTCACAAAAGGTCTTGTGCAATAATAGCAATCGAATTGGAGTATTTAAGTTATTGTAGAGCTATCAAACGTTGTGCCGTCTGAGAATATCCGACTTTGAAATCTAGTGGCTGGATATTGTTGTATAGAGAGGTTGTTTTCTAGCAAATCGTGACTAAAGATGAACAAATTATTGAGTTTGCTTTTAATAGTTTTCTCTGGAACGACCGTTTTAGCGGTGTTTCCTCCGTGTCCTTACCTTGTTAAGGTAATTATTTTTCTACAGGTTTTAATGTGGTTTTATTATTTTTTTGAATTACCCTTTTACTTGCTTTTAGACATAGGGGGCGTATAGCACTAGATTTTTTAATAGACCAATCAGAACTGGGTGGGTCGATGTGGGACAAGCGGTGGTGTTGTCAGCCTGAGGATTCAGTGACATGTGGCGGGGGTGATCTTTTATTTTATATTATATATATATATATATATATATATATATATATATATATATATATATATATATATATATCACGCAGACCGTGATGAGAGTTACATTCTACGAACGACGTGCTATATATATATATATATATATATATATATATATATATATATATATATATATATATATATATATATATATATATATATATATATATGCGTGTGTGTGTGTGTGTGTGTTTGTGTGTGTGTGTGTGTATAAAACAGTATATATTTATGTAGCACTAAACAAATGATGCCTGACAGAAAGGTACGTTTTAATTCACTCCACCAGAAAAAGCCATTTATATATTTGTCGCTAACAGATAAAAGAAGCCAGCAATTATAAACACAAAAGATTTAAATGGGAGAGGGCCACGGGCAGATCAAAAAGATAGTGGAGAGATAATATCCAGGAAAACCATTGAAACCTCAAGACTCCCAACTGTAAAGAGAAGACCAATCGCAGACAGAAGTGAAATTAAGTTGTAAATGCATTAACGAACCTCTAGGACTTCGAATGCGGAGACTAAGAAGCTATGTGTGTATGTATGTGTGCGTGTGAATGTGTGCTTGTTTGTGTTTTTGTTTGTATGTTTGTATGTTGTTTTTTTAATATTTACGAGCGAACACAAAACGTGAATTAACTTTCTGGGCACTCTTCCTTCCAGGAATGCAGATGTTCTGCAAGAACCTTGCTGTGCACAAATCTAACAGGGATACCTCCGCTGGAATCCACCAATCAAAATGGTAGCATTACCAACTTAACATTTCAGGTAAGCAAACTGTATTGATTATTTACGTGTATCATCCATTCTTCTTCTGCCTTTCTATCTCCCAATGGAGCATAGGCTCTCAACCAACTCACACCAAGTCGTTCTATCCTTCGCCATTACATGGAGCTCTTCCCATGTCCTCCTCATCTTTCTAACAGCATTCTCCAGCTCTCTTCTCCATGTATTTTTGGCCATCCTTTTTTCCTATGCCCCTGTGGCTATATGGTCAGTACAGGATCTGTTTGACCGAAAACCTGCCTGTTTATCTCTTAGCTTTTTATCAATAGCATCTTTTAATCTTTCCAAAATAATTCTACTTAACATTTTTCCAGGAACTGACAGCAACATAATTCCTCTATAGTTTTCACACTCCTGTAGATCACCTTTTCACAAGATATCCTTCTCTCCAGTCTGCTGGTATTTCTTCGGTCTCCCAGACTTTACTGAATAATCTATGTAGCAATTCTGTTGATGTGTTTATGTTGGCCCTGATGGCTTCAGCTGGGATACCATCTGGGCTTGCCGCCTTTACTTCCTAGAGAAGATTGATAGCTTTTATAATTTCCTCTTTGGGTGGTATCTCACAGTTGATATCTAATTCCATTTCTAAAGGCTGGATGTCTGGGGAAACCTCTGGACTTGGTCTATTTATAAGCAATTTAAAATATTCAACCTATCTGTCCATTTGATCTTTAGTGTTAGTAAGTACCTTTCCTTGACTATTTTTGGTTGATCCAGTTGGCTGACTATATTTACCTACTTATTTTCTTGTGTTACTGTAAAGTTCTCTAAGGTTTCCTTTTGCTGCTGCTGACTCCGCTTCTTGTGCTAGATCATTTAGATATTTCACTTTATCTCCCCTTATACGCCTGCTAACTTTTTTACTGGCTTCTGTGTATATATCCTGAGCTCTAGCTTTAGCAACTCTAGTTTTGCTATTGTTTAAGTCTGCCTTTTTACTTTTCCTTTCTTTAATCAGTTTAATTGTTTCTGTTGTTATCCACGCTTTATGTTTCCGTTCTTTCTTGCCAAGAACTTCTACACAAGATTCATTTCTTTGATCTGATCCCAGCAGACTTCTTTGCTGACATCTTCAACTAACTGCTGCAACGCCTGGTACTTATTAGAGACCGTAACTGAGAACTGTTCCTTAATTTCTTTATCTCTGAGAAAGCCTACATTATATTGGTTTCTATGATTATAAGATTTTTTTAATCTTCTAAGTTTCAACTTGATTTTACTTACCACCAGGAAATGGTCAGTAAATATTTCGGCACCTTTGAAAGCCCTAACATCGTAAAGGGATGATCTAATTTTTTTTTATTTTGTGCATACAAAGGTTATCAATTTGATTAGTTGTCTTACGGTCTAGTGATTCCCATTTGTCCTTGTGTATTCGTTTATAGGGAAAAATACTTTCACCAATAACATACTGGTTACCTGCACACAAATTTGTGAACAGTTCTCCATTTTCATTCATTACTTCTAGACCATGTCTTCCCATAATTTTTTCATAACCTATTTTGTCTGATCCTATCTTAGCATTCAAGTCACCCATCAACATTTTTAAATTGCCCTTTCTTTCATTATTTATAATATTTTAAAACTGCACGTAAAATTCTTCTTTAACAGATGCATCGTTATCATTTGTTGTTGCGTAAAACTGTATTACCGACATGTTCACCTTCTGTTTCACTGTTCTAAAAGATACTCTTATTATTCTGGGACTCATAGCTTCCCATTCTATTAGTGCCCTGTCTGCTTCCTCCTCTGTGTGTCCTGAGAACAAAATAGTTTTCCCTGAATTTAGAATACCTATTTCCGCCCCAGTCCATCTAGTTTCACATAAACCTAAAATACTAATTCTATAATATATCATTTCCCTTGCTACTTCCATTTTTATCCCTGTGTCATAGAGAGTTGTAACATTCCAGGTGCCAATTCTAGAGGTTTTCCTAGCTGAGAGGAGGTACGTCAATGATCCGAACTCCTTACCGCTTTCTCCACACCGTGTCATACTTCTTCTACTTGAAGAGCCTTCCCTCATCTTGGTTGGAGTATCATCCACTAAACCTATAATGTAAAATCAGTACTGCCGTATGGAGCGGAAACATGAAGAACAGCTAAAATAAGGAGGCAGAGCGAGTGTGAGAATTCAAGGATATCAATCATTCACTTATTCATTACAAATGATCTTCAAAACATACATAGGGCCTAGTGTTCTAATTTTTGTATTCATCCTTTCAGTCCAGCAACCTCAACAATATCACAGAAAACAGCCTGCCAGCGAATCTCCAGACTTTGGTATTCTCCAATGTCTCCATCACTTCGATATCACCGAATGCCTTCAGCAACTCATCCACAACTTTGACATCTTTCACCATGGACCAGGTCAGCTACGATGAACTTCCCGATGCTCTTCTCAATGTCAGCGGCCTAACAACGTTACAGTTATCAAACATGAATATAACAGGATGGCCAACAGATGTTTTACAGTACCTTGGCAAGACGGTTCGTTCTGTTTCCTTGACGAATGCTGGCCTTACGTCCTGGCCTCAGTGGTTGAAAGATTTCACATTGGTCAATTCTATCGATGTATCTTCCAACAAACTGAAGACCCTCCCTGCTGACGCTTTTAAAAATGTCAAAAGTTTGAAAACTCTTCTGTTGAGTTCAACATTTCTCGACGATACGGGCAACCTAGATTTTGCTCTTGCTCCTGTTAGCAACTCCCTAGAAACTCTCAACATAAGCCACAATTTCTTTACCCAAATACCAGCAGGACTAGTTAACATGCCTAGGTTATCTACATTACAAATATCTTTTAACCTGATATTAGAAATTACACCTGACACAATCCCCTTATCACTTACGAGACTAGACCTTACAGACAACCTAATTACAGAACTGACTAACACAAGTTTTCCTCCTTCGTCCGCGTTAAAAACTCTACTATTAACTTTTCTTCAATTCACTTATCTTTCTGATTGGGCTTTCCAACCTCTCCGAAACCTCACAGGCTTATCTTTGGCGTACACAAATCTGGAAACAATCCCTCTAGCGTTAACGAAACTGCCCAATTTGCAGATTTTAGATCTGTCTATGGGCGGTATTAATCTGAGATGCAACTGTCCAGTCGATGGGCAGCTGGCACGCTGGTATCAGTCTCTGCGGAATTTAACAGTTGTCGGGTGGTGTCGCAACGATTTTAATACTATAAATGTAAGTACTTACTTACAAAATGGCAAACAGTTATGTTCTTCTGGGTTTGATTACCTCCGAGGAAACTTGTTTCTTTGTTTACTTGTAGTCATGGCAACTGCTGTTTATTTTTGGTAAAATCTTAATATACTTTTTTTTAATGCAGTTCTTTGTGGCTTAGAGGTTAGACAACCATTTTACAATGCAAATATCTGATTTTTACAAAGGTTCGATCGCAGCGGTGAGCGGGTTACAAAAACCGCACTAGTGGCTCTCAGATAGTGGTTTGAGAGTCACATCGTAGGAGAGATTATAGGCCTTAACCGTGTAATATTTTCAGGGTAAGCAGCGTGTACATTGTGGCAAACCTCGACTGAGAACATAATCTCATTCACATTATCACTCTCTCTCTCTCTTTCTCTCTCTCTCTCTCTCTCTCTCTCTCTCTCTCTCTCTCTCTCTAAAAAAAAACCGCTCTCGTGGCTCTCAGATAGTGGTTTGAGAGTCACATCGTCACATCGTAGGAGAGATTATAGGCCTTAACCGTGTAATATTTTCAGGGTAAGCAGCGTGTACATTGTGGCAAACCTCGACTGAGAACATAATCTCATTCACATTCTCTCTCTCTCTCTCTCTCTCTCTCTCTCTCTCTCTCTCTCTTTCTCGCTCTCTCTCTGTCTCACTTTCTCTGTAATCCTCTCTCTCTCATTCGCTGGCTCTCTCGTTTTCTCTCTCTCTCCCTCTCTGATTCTCTCGCTCTCTTTCTCGCTCCTACATTCTCTCTCAACCTGTCTTTCTCCCTCACTCTCTCTCTGTCTCTCTCTCACTCTCTCTCTCTCTCTCTCTCTCTCTCTCTCTCTCTCTCTCTCTCTCTCTCTCTCTCTAGTTGCAAAACCAGTCCTAGCATTCTTCTTTTTCTTCTTCTTCTTCCTCCTCTTCTTCTTCTTCTTCTTCTTCTTCTTCTTCTTCTTCTTCTTCTTCTTCTTCTTCTTCTTCTTCTTCTTCTTCTTCTTCTTCTTCTTCTTCTTCTTCTTCTTCTTCTTCTTCTTCTTCTTCTTCTTCTTCTTCTTCTTCTTCTTCTTCTTCTTCTTCCTCTTCTTCTTATACTTCTTTTTCTTCCTCTTCGTCTTCTTCATCTTCTTCTTCTTCTTTTTCTTCTTTTTCTTCTTTTTCTTCTTCTTTCTTCTTCTTCTTCTTCTTCTTCTTCTTCTTCTTCTTCTTCTTCTTCTTCTTCTTCTTTTTCTTCTTCTTCTTCTTTCTTCTTCTTTCTTCTTCTTCTTCTTCTTCTTCTTCTTCTTCTTAGCTCTCACTGGCTGTAAACTCCGGTAGAAAGCCCTGGTTGTTTGTTCGCTTCTTTTAACTTGCATCTGGCTCCAGAACTCGAGTTACCGTATGCATATCCGTTTTACACATCTGGTTTATTTGTGTTTAGAATGGTGATATTTCGCCCCAGACAGTTGCTCTCTGGCTATTTAGTAATTTATGTCGTTGACTTTCCGTATTCTGTTTTCTATTTGTCCATCAAATCCTCCCTTCTCCGTGACTACACTGCCCAGGTACTTAAACTCCTTGTTTTTATGTCTTTTCTGCAACAATGATGATAAGTTGAATTTATAGTCCATTTAATATTAGTATTTCTGTGTTTATTGTTGCTGTATTTTCCCCATATTTTTCTGTAGGTTTTTTTATTGTTTTTTGTTTTTGTGTGGTCATATATATATATATATGCGCAAGTGAGTGCCCTTCTCACAGTATGTCCTCGTCCGCAAAAAGATCTGAATGTCGTGTTTTAAACATTTTTTTCTTGACGGATGCAGTCTTCTTCTTGATCTTCTTCTTCTTCTCCTTCTCCATTTTCTTATTATTATTTGTCTTCTTCTTCTGCCTTTTAACATTAGGATTTTAGAAGGCCTTGGTATGTGCTACGTTGATGTTGGTATGCCCGGTGTCTGACATTCCATCCATCGATGCAGTAAAATTTACATTAACATCTCAGACTATGAGTTTATGTTCTGCTTTCTGATGGAGATAGTTTGTGCTGAAACGTTCACATTTATCTGTTTGAAAAAGCAATCTATAATTATTACGTGTTTTGTCTATAAAGTATTCCCATTCATAATGTAAGTTTTTGTATTGATCTTCTGTTGGGGTAAATCAAATAAAGAATTCCAGTGTTACCGAAACAAATCTTGTTAGTTATTATGACCACTGCAAATACGATAATATAGCGTGTTTTACGTGCTGTTCGTACCACTGTATGTGTCATCATCATCAAGTGCCTTGCCAGCTGGCCTAAGCTTTCATGCCTCTCCACAGATCTCGGTCTTTGGTTTTCTAGATCGCTTCCACTCAAGATATTCCTCCATGCCACTATCTCAAGCCATCCACAATCCTTTCTCTTGGTCTGAATCTGCCTTTTCTCCCAGTCGTCACGATTTACTCTAGTGCTCCTTTTCTCCTCACATGAACAGAGAACTTTGTCTCCTTCTCGTTGTTGTATATGATGTTCCACTTTCATTTGCCATTACCAGGCACTCATTGTTAGTTATTCTGGCAGTCCAAGGTATTCGAAACATTTTTCTCAATAACCACATCACAGTTACCTCAGAACTCTTCTTAATTTGTTTGTTCACATTGCAAGATTTACTGCCACAAAACAGGCTCGATGTAATATTTCAGTTCTCGTTTGCTTATGTTTAATGAGAGTGATTTATTACATAAGATACTTCTAATCTTCTTAAAGACTGCCTTTGCCTGGCCACTTCTGCTCCTAATTTCTGTCACACATCGTCCCTCTGATGAATGTCCCTCACATACTTAAATGAATTAACTTGATTAAGCACTTTCCGTTTCCACTGCTACGTCACATTTTGGAGTTAGCTGCATGTTTTTTTATCTCAGGTCGCCAAGATGTGGGATGCAATTTTTCGTCATTGCAAGCCCCACCCTATCTTTTGCCGGAGCCCTGAATATAGCCAAGCCATAAATATGGCCAAACAGCTGAAAGGGGTTTCTGAGACTGTACAAACAAATGCATGACTAACTGAATGAATAACTGAATGAACGAATACCTGACACCACTGTACTCGGGACATATCCAAGCCCGTACAGTACCCTTTCTCAGCAGCCAACGAAGTTGTGATGGTGTCAGCTGCAACTTGATAAAAAGCCAAATTGTTTTGAAATAAAGTTACTAAACAGAAAATCAGTCAACGGAGTGGACGGGAACTGAATGTGGCATCGATGTTATTTCCGTGGAGAAGGCAAAAGTCTCACGAGTAATATCCAAATACTTCAAGAGTAGTAGTAGTAGCAGCAGTAGTCTTTTTTTTTTCTTCTTGTTTTTCTTTTTCCTTTTCTTCTTCTTCTTCTTCTTCTTCTTCTTCTTCTTCTTCTTCTTCTTCTTCTTCTTCTTCTTCTTCTTCTTCTTCTTCTTCTTATTCTTCTTCTTCTTCTTCTTCTTTTCTTCTTCTTTTTCCTTTTCTTCTTCTTCTTGTGATTTCTTTTAGAAGCAATTCCATAGAAATTGCATACTTTATTCATGGTGGGTAGATAACTGACATTTGCTTTTATCGGAATAGAATAAGCTTACTTATTGCCCCTGAACCGGACAAAAAAAATTAACGTCGGTTGAAATAATTCTGATATAAGATTGCAATCATTTACTAGACACCCCGTGTAGGTTCCAGTTTCCCGCGAAAGGGGGAAAATATGTTATTTTTCTGTTAAAAAAAAAAGCCTTGCGTATAATTCGACTGATTAAACATTGACTGAACTTTGCTGATATCGGTTGTGTTGGTTTGAAAGGCGTAGATATCGCAGCTCAAACGCAGACCACAACATAAACTGTCACCTGTCATTTTACGGGCGAGTGGTGAAGAAGATGAGGGAGAAGATGGGGCAGGATGGGAAGGGCAGAACAAAGATACAGAGAGAAATGACTAGGTTTCTTATCTAAATAATAATTGAGAAGTGTGCATAGACCTGATCTGAGAGACCGGCAATCGTAAAGTGTGGCGAACAATGATCGCCCACGCTTACCAGGATGATTTTTGAGTTGATGAAGACTGTGGAAATGCTGCTGCTGCTGCTGCTGATGATGATGATGATGATGATGACGAGGGCACATATGGCGTTACGTTGCATTAGTAGTAGTAGTTGTTATAGTAGTATTAGTAGTATTAGTAGTAGTAGTAGCAGCAGTAGTAGTAGTAGTAGCAGTAGTAGAATTAGTAGTAACAGCAGTAGTAGTAGCAGCAGCAGTAGTAAAAGTAGTAGCAGCAGCAGTAGTAAAAGTAGTAGCAGCAGCAGTAGTAAAAGTAGTAGCAGCAGCAGTAGTAAAAGTAGTAGCAGCAGCAGTAGTAAAAGTAGTAGCAGCAGCAGTAGTAAAAGTAGTAGCAGCAGCAGTAGTAAAAGTAGTAGCAGCAGCAGTAGTAAAAGTAGTAGCAGCAGCAGTAGTAGCATTTGTTCATAGAACACTCCAGATCAACCGTCTGAGTTATCATTGAGATATAAAGTTGCTAACGGGTTCTCATAGTGCACACATTTGTTATTTTATTAATTTAATTTAGTCAATTGTATGATATGCATTGTGCTGTTTCAAATGTTGCTTTGATTTTGGTTGCGATTAAGATAGAAACTGTAAAGTACTGTGAATATTTAAATGTACTTTCAGTCAATTCTACCACAGATGGTCTTCCATGTTATGCTGTCAAGCTGTTCAGAATCTTCTCTCTCAGTCTTCCTTTACTTCTTTTTCCCTCCAACTTTCCCAGCATCACGATGTACTCCAGTTTTCTCAAAGGGTGCAGATTGTCTCCTCCTGACAAAAGCAACATTTGAAAATCAAGTTGTCTCCCTTTGTATGATGTTTCAAACCCATCCCCACCATTGTTTGCCGGTTCATGACTTCACGAGGTATAAAGTTTAGCAGTTTGCTATAGGTGTAGGACGGTCGCAAGATGACGCCAGGCGGTCTGCTGCCAAATGGCCCACAGCTTTGATCGATGCCAGGTCATCTGAATTACGAAGCCACAGATACTGGGCATTATTACTATTATTATTATTATTATTATTATTATTTCAAGATCTCCAGCTTAGAGTGCCCAATCAGTTTGCCTCAGTTTCTGACAATCAAG